CAACCTTTAACAATGCTTACGACGACATGTAATTATACAATGAATATATTATAAAATTGGTCTCTTAAAATATCCATGCCGTGTACTATCCGAGAAGAAGTACATGTTCTTAAAACATCCAAAATTAAAATCCTGAGGACATCCATAGAGCATTCTAAATGGACGTAAGACATAATACATACTTAAGACGTAAACTGGACATAAAACGGACATTTTTTGGACGTCTGATGATAGCTGGAATGACATTGAAGTAAGAAATAAAAATTATTGTTTGTTAACCATATTTTTTACAATTGTTTTAAAAATTTGAAGAGAAATTAAAATATAGTTCTTCTTTGTAGACAATCTTTAAAAAAACGTACATTTTTTAATTACTTCTATGGAAATTGACCACAGCTGTATGTAACTTACCATGTAATTGTGTTGTTATTAGTCAGTACATATCTCAGAAATGATAAGTACTCAGAAGAAAAAGGGGAGAAGAAGTTTTATTGATTTTGTAACCAATATAAGCACATGTCTCGAAAAATATTAAAAACACGAACTGTTGATATATTATTATATTGATTGCAAAAAGAGTAGAACTTATCCTTCTTTCCCTTTCTTCCATACTCATCATTTACGAGATATACAGTGGTGTGGTTAATAACTTCACAACCATGAAGAGACACATATAACCACAGTTAAGAGATCATGCTCAGTCAAAAATCTTTAAAAAAATCAGTTTTTGGGTTTTAATTATTTGTGAAAGTATTACATTTCGAAAATATTCTCTGAAAGTATTATTGTAATCGGATGAAGCTTGAGTACTAGGATATTTTCAGTTTGATATGTAATTTAGTTTATTAGACTGAAAAAAAACTGAAGCAAAGGGCCTACCCAATTAAGATGGTCAAAATTGCGCTTAGAGGTTTTTTTATGAGTATTATACCGTTTAATAGCTGACCAATAAAAACTCATTTGTGCAAAATTTCAACCCTGTCACTTGTCTGTGAGTTGCAGAGTAAATTAGATTTGGCTGCTTTTTCGCCTATTCAACCCCTTCGGTTACTTCTTAAAATTTTGGAAAAAAGTATGGCTTATTTCGAACATCATGCCGCATATTATAGAATTTTTTCAGATTTTTTGATTGTAAGCTGCGGTTATCAAAAATGGACAACCAAAAAAAATGGAAAATTGAAGATATCTTGAAAACAAAAATACTATGCCACCCAGATATTAATTCCCTGATAAGGTACTATCACAAGCAGTGCGTTTAATTTTTCTTAGATTTTTCGTAGAACTGCGTCATTGTTAAAGAAAATGAAAACCGAATTTGTCGATTTTTGCTGTGAGGAAGAAAGTTACCACTTGTTGTGTTTACGGTAAGTATAGATTAAGTAATTTAAAATGTTATTAGATTGAAACAAGCAATTTTTTAACCTAGAAAATGCGATTTAAAAGTAAAAGAAAATTGTGATGTTCACATTATGATATAATAGCTAAAATATTCATGCATGTTTCAACATCGTCGGCTGACGGAGTGGATAAGGTGGCCGTCTACGGTAACACTACGCTATAGGGTTTGAATATCCCATTGAAATTACAGCTTTTTTCCATGAAGCATATTTTCAAATTAAAAAAATAAAATTAGTAATAAAAAGTCTGTGTTTTCAAATAAAAGAACATTGGCAGAAAATCGTTCTAAACATTTTGAGAAAAAAATTCCCAAGAAACACCATCTTTTTAAACTCCTAATTGAGCATGACCTCTTAATTTTCACAGAATTGATTTCAAACTGTACCTTCTTTAAAGTAAAGGGTAAAACTATATTTTTATTTCTTTCCAATGCAAAGATTGAAAAGATTCCAAAAATAGCTGTTATATAACTATTATTTTTTGGTTATATGTGCATGTATTGGCAAAATTCAATGTAGTGTACGAGATTGTACAGCCTTAAATTTCTGTACGATAGATAAAACAGTACATTGGCTGTAGTCGCAGCTCGTCAATAATGCGAAGTATTTCAGAATCCATATTTTGAATCCCCAAAGGAAATACAATGTATTTGTTACGTGAAATAGAATTAGAACTGAAACAAAGAACTAAAAAATAACTGTTATAGGACCAATATAATAATGGTTCTGAAGAACCAAAACCGATATACCTTATAATAGTTATAAGAACATTTCAGTTCTTCATAACTATTTCAGGAACCAAAACTAATATCATAACTATTTTCAACCTCTACTCCAATGTCATTACTGTAGGCATCATGAAACATTCTCATTCCTTCATTAATTCAATAATTATCATTTATTTCAAACAAATTAGAATTACATTTCAAATAGCTGTAGAATCAAAAATTTTTAAAATTTTTGTAAATCCTTCAAGTCATGTTTATATATTGCTAATCTAAATTTCAATAACATCCGAAGTGTTATTTCAAAAAGTGTCAGATTTTATAA